AGTGGAGCAATTAATAAAACCTTTGTCTGGGAGCAACCCTAGTGTTTGTAACCACAGGTCATGTGTCTCCCCCCACCCCTTTCCTACAGATGGCAACCCTGGCAGAGGTTTGATTTTATGTCCCAATCAGTTTATTAGGCCACCACAACAGATGTTGTGCCACCAGCAGATGGGACTTGACTCATTCCTAGTCACTGGATTTTTTAGCTGCTTTTGGGACCATTGTGTGGGTATTTCCTACTTCTAGCTCTCTCTGGCACCAGTCTTTATGGGTGTGGTTTCTCACCTGTTCTTTTGAATGCCACATCACCCCATGGGCACTCTTGGGCTCATTTTTTAGAAGTGTGGGTGTGCATTGCAGTGATACATGTTAATTGAAAGTTTCCTGGGGGATACTGGGGAACTGGCCTTATATGGTCTCTTCTGTCTTCCCCATCACTCACCCAGAGATCTGGAGCTTCTTCAGATGTTATGCATTTCCAAGAGGGAGGGCACTCTTCACCAGGGAAAAGCATGATGTGTTTGCATGTGACATAGCGTGGAAGCACGTAGTCATCTGAATATTGTTGGAAGGCAATTTCTACCATTTTTCAGCACTGCTTATGCCGGCAAGGGATGATGTGAGGTGTAGTCCAGCCCCATCTGAGCCCATCAGTGGTGAATTACTGTTTCTATGGAGGTAGTTGCAACAGTCGGCAACTTCCCAGCATCAGTGCTGGACTGGTGGTGCTGGTCAGCACCTAGTTTTGCAAGTTGCAAAATGGAACTCCCAGCCACTCTGACTGTCCCCCTGTTGCCTCTGGTTCCTCTAAACCAGTGGTCTTCAGTCTTGGGTCCCCAGATGTCCTTGGACTTAAACTCCCAGAAGCCTTTCCCACTAGCTCTGCTAGCCAGGATTCCTGGGAGTTGTAGTCCAAGAGCATATGGGGACCCAAGGTTGAGATCCCCTGCTCTAAACCACTGGTTCTTAACCTTGGGTTACTCAGGAGTTTTGGACTGCAACTCCCAGAAGCCTTCACCACCAACTGTGCTGGCTGGGGTTTCTGGGAGTTGCAGTTCAAAAACATCTGAGTAGCAAAGGTTAAGAACCACTGCTCTAAACTGCTTCCAAATTGTCTGCTTGGCAGATGGATCTGAGCTGCAGAGTTTGAGGGAGTGGATGCATGTAGGCGCCAGAGTTCATATGCAAAGATTATAATGCTTTTAGTGGTCTCTTGTGACTTTTCTTTTACAACTAGAACATTCTGAACATTATGTAAATACAGATCATTTTAATATTGTACTCAATATAGGCCACGGCCTTTCCTTTGCTACATTTCCCCCTCTTTTCTGCAGAGTGACCTGTGGTCCAAGGGAGAGGTTCCCCCCCCCAATCAGATCCAAAGCTTGCAGTGATATTTTTTAAAGAAACTCCTCTTTTTGTTCAATGCTGTTACCATTATTGTTGCTCTGATCCTGCAAACAATTTACTGCGTTAAATATAACTAGCACAGTATTTTCCCCTTAACATGCTATGTTGCTTCTACCAGCAAGCCAGAAAAATACAGAGAAAGACTGGCCAATTCTGGCATTACACTTTGGAATCCTTTGTATGTGTATTATGTGCAGTCAAGTTGGAACTGACTTATAGTGACCCTAATGCAGCTTTCAAGGTAACAGATATTTAAGGAATGGCTTTACCAGTTCCACTCCCCCAGTGAACTTCCATGACTGAGTGGGGATTCGAACCCTGTTCTCCAGAATCCTAGTCCATCACTCCACCACTGCATCACACTGGGAATCACAGTGGTTATTTATCAGAAGTCAAAACCAAACAATACTCTTCTTGTTATTTAAAACTGATAATAGAATGGCATTTTCTTTAAAATACCTTTAATACCTTTAAAAAGTTATGGAAAATATTACTTTCTGCATTTTAAAAGTAACTTTGTAAATACTCATCAGATTGCTTTTACTGTGACACTTAACTGTGTAGGCATCCTTCAATCTCGAAAGACTATGGTAACGTGCTCTGTATGGAGGACTTGGAACAGCGTCTAGCTGTTAGACACTTAACTACATGTTGTATTATTCACTATCCCACGAATAACTCTTGTAGTTAATGGTGCTACTATCCCAAAAGTAATAACTTTAATTACAGTTATTATTAATTAGTCATTTCTATGCTCTGCTCAGATCATGAGCTGCTGGTACCAGTCATCCTTACCCAGATGGGCTCCTCAACCCATTTGTGGTTTTTCTCATATAATTTCATGAGGGACAGCAACTTGAATCAAGAGACAATTGATTTGTCAAGTGACAAGTTCTGCCCTTGCATGTAGAAATCACTGAATAAATAGTCCCCTGGTCATTTTTAAGTCAAGGTTATTCAAGTGGTTTTCATTGGTTTTGAAATAAAGATGGGATTCACTTCTGACTCTGCCTGCCCAGGACTCACAGTAAGATCTCTAGCACGGATGAATCTGGAAAGATTTCTGTAAGCCATGTCATGCTGGAATTTGGGATGGGACTGTAGACATGGTCTAGAGGGGCAGGGTAAAAATCAAATAAATAAATAAATAAATAAAATGTATCATTCTAATTTTTGTTTTTCATTCCTTGGGCTGGTTGTTTTTCAATGAAACCCCCAGACTTAGAGCTCCTTGATGAGCAATGTGTCTATGCAAGAAGGGTGTGGGTGATACAAAACTGGGAAAGGCACACTAACTTTTAGTTCCTCAGGCACAATTGCTGCAAACTTCTGTAAAGCCAAAAGCCTGCCCTGGGTTATGCAATGCCCGTGCACTGGCACCGTGCCTCCAGGAGGAAAGACTGTGAAGGGCATGCGTGCGGACGAGACTGGTCCCTCCTGTGCTGTGATCACACCACCCGGACCATATTGGTTGTATCTGTTTGGCAGAAGCCCAGTTTCTTCAACCCGGCGCTGGTCTGACTCACTTCAGTACTTCGCCCAATGACTCTTCCACCTCTTCTCCTCTTTTACTACCAGGCCTGCACCAACACACACACACATCACACACGCAAAGAAACACACCAGCTTTGGAAAGATGGACATGGCTCACTGTTTCACTGGAAGGCATTCCACTTTATTATGATTTATTTTAGTTTATTTTTAAAGGGAGCACCATCTTCTGCCTAGAAAGAAGAAGGAGTGAATGGCTGGTGTTTCTAGTGGGCCTATCACTGGAGACGGAAGGAATAGAGATCAGACGATGCAGCGGTGGGCAAAATGCAGCCCTCCAGTTGTTGCTGAACTGCAACTCCCATAATTCCTAGCCCACACAGCCAATAGTGTGAGGAGAGTTGGGCCTAGCCCACACAGTGAGGAATGTTGGGATTTGCAGTTCAGGAACATCTGGAGGGCCGCACTTTGCCCAGGTCTGGATTAGAGGATTTCCTTTCTTGGACCTTAACTTCCAAAAATGGAGAGTCCCATAGCTTCTACTCCAAAAGTTGTAATCTTTAAAAAAAAAGTTTCTCATCTCTCTGGAGAAGATATTCCTCTGTAGTAAGTGGAGTCACTATAAGATACCATTTAGTTATAGTGCTACTACCCCACGATTAAATGTTTCATGGCTTGCAGCCATGTCAACATGTGGGTTGGGTCATCATGGACCCACCAGGGCCAAATTTGACCCACAAGCAGTGTTAGCTCGTTTTGTCAATAGCTTATATATGAATATTATTATTATTATTTATTTAACAAGGGGTGACGAAAAGGAAAAGGGGAATTGAGGTTAAATGGGAAGAGGAGAAACAATAACATACTAACGTCCATTCTATACATATTGCCATATCAACATTCCAAATTGCTCTTTTTGCTATTTTGTGCCTTCCAGATTTAAGTTCTCATTTCAATGTATGCTCTTCATACGCTGCCTGTTGACTCAGTCCATTTGTAGAATACGTCCCATCTTTCTGTTGCCTTTTGTAAAGGACAGTCCTTCATCACTTCTGAATAGCTTACATATGAATAGAAAGAATAGTTGCTGTGGAATCACTGTACTGTGGGAGTGACTGTGCAAGAACACCTTGCAGTTTATCCTCAGAGTGACCATCCCTCAAAACCAGCTGTTGATCAGGAATCTGCGCCTGACACCTGTATTTGGAGTGGATGGGGGGGGGTCACATGCATTTGATCCAGAGAGCCAGGGCAATGGTATTAGCTGGAGTGTTGGGCTTTTCAAGATTGGGAAGACAAGGATTCAAATTGCTACTTTTGGGGGGGGGCATCTTTCAAATAAATCCCCCTTGCAAATAGAAGACTGGCAGGCCAGAGAGAAAGGTTGAAAACCACTGTGATGTAGTGAGTAGAGGGCTGGGCTTTCGGAGTTCTAGGCCGAAGTCTCCACCAAGTCGTAACACTCACGGTGTGATCTCTAGCCACTTATTCTCGCTCTGCATGACCTACCTCAGAGGGTTGTTGTTCTGAGGATCAAGTTGAGAGGGGAAATCCACATACTTTGATGTAAGCTAATTTCAAGGATGTACAGTACATGTATCTAAATTCAGCTTTCAGCACAGCCTTCTCCTGATGAACTAGTTTTCTACCTGCATGGAGCTTTTTGTCCACCTGACGATTCAGATCTTTGATCACCTCCCTGAAGACTACAGCTGTAAGGCTTACTCTGCCGTGCCTTTCTGCTGCCTGTGTACCTCTACCTCTCCCCATGGTGGAATCCACTCCACTTGCAGGCTGCTTTGTTTCTACTCCGCATATATATGTATGTATTTTGCCAAGCTCTTGTCTCATCCTTGGCTTCCAAGAGGTGTGGATGACGCAGGGACCTAAATGTTGGGGACCAACCTGGCCTCTTCTGTTTCTCTGGCAGGCCTACGGCCTCCAACTCCAGCTGTCCCTCCTTCCTCGTGTATCCTTTTCCATCCCCTCCCAAGCAAAGGGAAAAGAGAGCTATTGTGTACCAGGAAATAGCAGTTCCCTGACTGCTTGCTCTGGTCTGACAGGCCAGCCTGGCTCCAGAGCCTCATTGTTTCCAGTTTCACATCCTCTTGTCTCATGCACTCCCGAGGGTTGCGTTGGTTGACGAGTGCCGGCAAAAAGTGGATCTGCTGCAGCTGCCCCTGATCTCGCGGGTAGGGCAGGCCGCCTCCATTATCCTCTTGCAGAGCTGGCTTCAGCGACTCCAGCATGCTCGCTAGCTTGGCCAAGACTTGAAGGCACCGGTGGACTCATGCCGTCTTCACCTCTATAGCCATGAAGCCCCAACATGCGGTGGAAACTCTCCTAAGGGCGCTGGGGAGAAGAGAGAGTTCCCGAGTTCCCGGCAACCACAGGGTAGGTTGGTGTGGTACAAAGACCGAAGGACAGAGGGGTCGGAGGAAAGAGGGAGATGTGGTTTCCTAGCAAGCGGCAGAAAACCCTGTGAATTTCCAGAATGCCTGAATCCATCTGGGGAAGTTGGCTGCACCCTGCAGGAGTTCTTGCCAGCATAAATGTACTCGGGCCAAACTATATGTTAGAATAAACAGGGGTAAATGTGGGAGGGGTGGAGAATGAGGCATACTTAAGGCTGGTTGCTTTTTTATCCTGAAGGAAAAGCAGCTGTGAGAACCCAGTCTGGAATATGTTCCTAATCTAGATTGGGGCCTCACACTAGTTTTCCTCATGCAGATTCCCCTTCTTCCCACCTCTGGGTACTATTTGGCCCTGGAGATGCTGTTTAGTACAAAAGAATTTTTATATTATTATGATTGTTTGCTACAGTCAGCTTAACAAGACTTCTTTTCCAGAGCATTGGGAACTATTATTCTCTGCCACCATCTAAAAATAAAGCTATTTAGCTGTATTTTCCCTTTCCATATTTTCCCTTGTGTGACAAGGACCTCAGATGTTGTTGGTGTTTTTTCCTAAGGAGGAGCTTGCCTAATAGATTTCTTTTTGTGCTTGAAAGCTTGGGAACCAATTCTGATATTTGCTTTCCATTGAATCTTTAAAAAAATTTTAAAAGTCAATATAAGTGAAAGCTGGTTGGCTAAGTGCCCAGTTAGCTTATTTTGAACATTTCCTGACAAGTATTTTAAGAAACAGTTCTGTTAAGGAGAGACAAGTGAAGTTGGATGTTTTAAAAACCATTTAAAAATGGTTAAGTGCCTGTCAGTCACACATAAATGTCAGCCCAGGTTCGCCGAGGCAGGACAAATGAGAAGGCCAAGCCCTAACATCAGGTAAAGTGAGGTGGACACTTTTAGGTGGCTGACTGGAAGTATTATAGTATGAAAGGCCATTAAATGTTGTGTATCTAAATTTTTTTGTTGCTTTGTGGTTGATTATGTTTAATTTTTTTACTGCCGTGGATGGGGAGGAGTGCTTATGTGATTTTCTGCCTTGTGTCAAAATAACCCAGATGGCTTGATTTAGGGTAGGTCTTGACCTAAGTCGAAAGGGAGCAGTTGCCACTGGTTCTTCTGCTTCAGTGACATAGATCTGAAATTGACTCAGGATAGGTAGTATCTGAAAAGCATAATTTAAGAGCTTGTCCCTGAAAAGGGATTAAATATTCTTGTTACATACAGAGGAGATCAAGAGAGAACAGTGACTTTGTGGGACTTCTCTGTCTCAGAACAGGTTCGGAACATGCCACTAATATATTATATCATTCTGTGTTACACCTTCTGATGCCTTGCAATTACATATTATATCATCCTGGGGCTTGCATATTATATCATTCTGTGTTACACCTTCTGCAATTACATATATATCATCTTGGGGCTTGCCTCCACTGAAAAGGATATTACATTTGCCCTAATACTGAAAATATGCTGCAAGTGGATTCACACGCTCAAGGGAACATCAGTTGTTGAACTTTGAGATGGAGGTGTAGCTGAGTTGAAAGCACCATCAGAGTGGAAATGCTGCAGAGAGAAGGTTTGGCATTTTCATCACCATCAACAGTGATTTTCAGTGGCCTACAGTCATACTGATCACCATCAACAGTGATTTTCAGTGGCCTCCAGTCATACATTGCTTTGGGTTGGGAGCTAGTTTGTGGTCTCAGGGGTCTGAAAGGAGTGAAGGCAGAAAGATTTTGCTTGCTGAGTGCAGACAGCAAGGGATTGGAAGAGAAAGGTGTGTGCCGTCTAGCTTGACATGGATGGCCTACACCAGCCTCCATAACACACCAGGTACAGTGAAGGATGCACTCCCATTGCCCCATTGTATATACTACATTCCCCTTGCCGAACACACCAGGTACAGTGAAGGATGCACTCTCATTGCCCCATTCTACTACATTCCCCTTGCCACCTCACTTGGTTGGTACACTTGGAATAGAAGAGCAGCCATCTTATCTTTGCTGCAAATCTTGGGGCAGCCTGCCATGAAGTTGGGTGTTATGAGATCTCTAGCTGTGTTTCTGTGGAAATCAGCCCCAGGAGGAGGCATGGTCTGTAGTAGATTTTGGGTCACTAGGTTTTCACCTAGAGACAGGATTTATCTTCTCTTTTTAAAAATAATCTTGGAACTGCAGAGCTGGAAGAGACCCTATAGATCATGGAGTCCGGCCCCTGTCAAGGAGGCCCAGTGGGGAATCGAACTCGCATCCTCTGGCTGCACAGCCAAAGGCCTAAGCCACTGAATTATCCAGCAGTTAGCTCTGGGGTGCCACAGGGGAGGCATAGATGCTATGCCTCCTTTTTGACTGCACCACTGTCCCCTTCAGTTGCCTGAAAAAGCAAAGCCCTCTGTTTTCCGCCATCACCACACAAGAGGAGAGACAGAGTCGGCTGACTAGAGGGACATGCAGCTTTTCCCCACAGAGATCTTTCTTAAACAATCATTCTGCATAGCCCCCACTCATATATGTTTACAATACTGTCCCACCCTGCTTGGCAGTCCATAGACCAAGATGGGCAACCTACGACCCTCCACCTTCTTTTGAAAGCCCCCTGGCAAGAAGTCAGTGCAAATCTTGGCAAAAGTGGGCCTGTCCCTCCCAGAATAGTCCACTGGGAGTTATGGGGTGGAGCAGAAAGGAGTGTGTCAGAGGGAGGCAGGGAAGAGAAGGAGGTGCCCACCCCCCAACACCCGTTTGGATCATTGCTCTCCCATTGCTGGCTTTGGCCACATCCACTGTTGACATGCCATCTCTGACAAATTCTGCATAAGGAAATTGAGTTCTTAGCAGCAGCAGTAAAAATAAACTTCCTTGCTCCTTTTTTTTAGAGCAGAGGTTGTTAGATTCCAGATGTCGTTAGATTTCAACCCTCATCATCACTCATTCCTAGGTAGTTTATCTAGGGTTCACGGAAGATCATCAGCAGTTCTTGCTGGGGACACAAGGTGTCCACTCCTCAAACAGAGCAACTCTTTGGGCTTCACTTCTGATGCAGATACAGCTTGGTGTTTTGGCTACTGAAGATTTTGAGAGTTTTGTCTGTGATGCTGCTGTTCTGAAGGAACAGGGGATGGACTTGAGGTCCTGCACGGGGGATTTTGGAAGGGGCAGGCGTGGAAAGTGCCAAACGCTTCTACTGGCTTCCCTGTTTTTAAATGGAGCTACATGAACTTTGGGGAAAGGCATGTAAAAACCGAGATTGCCAGCTCTGATTTATTTTTGTAAGTGTTTCAGAGTTCGTTACAAACTGTCTTTTTTTTCCCTCTGGGGCCATCCTAGGCCCAGCTAAGCCGAGAGGGCTGAGTAAACAGGACATGAGATAGCAAGTTGAGACTGCTGTTCTGATTTGCCAGGTTATTTGTCCATCTCCTTCTGGGAGCAGCCCCAGCCAGCCAGTTCCCTTTGACACAGCCGTTGTCAGGTGCCTCTCTGAGAGATCTGTGACCAGCCTTCGGAGATGCTTTGCAGAGCAAGAAAAAGCCCTTTGCCACCAGTGCAGGATTACAGAAGCACAGCTTATTTATTTGATTTTTACCCCACCCCTCCAGACAGCGTATACTCGGGGCGGCTAACATAGGTTAAAACACATTAAAACAGTATATAAATAACATATATAGTGCAATAATTATAATTAATATTATCCAAGATGGCAAAGCTAAAAAAAAAACAGAAGAAAAGGAAAGAAAAGATCACTTAGTTGACTGGGGGGGAAGGCCTGTTTGAATAACCAGGTTTTTAGTTGGCTTTTGAAAACACCCAGTGAGGGTGCCAGCCGAATTTCAGTGGGGAGTGTATTCCACAGCCGAGTGGCGACCGCCGAGAAGGCCAAGTTTCTTGTTTTCTCCTTCCGGGCCTCCCTCGGCGTCAAACCCCTCAGCCGTCCCTGCTGGCTATATTGGGTGATTCGGGTAGATCTGGGCAGGAGGAGGCGATCTGCCAAATATTGAGGTCCCAAACCGTTTAGGGTTTTATATGTGATCATTAGCACTTTGAAGTCGATGCGGAAATGAATAGGTAACCAGTGCAGTGCAACCAGAGTGGGGGTGATATGCTGAAATTTTCTCACCCCACTAATAAGCCTGCCCGCTGCATTCTGGACTATCTGAAGTTTCCGCATGAGCCTCAAAGGCAGCCCCACGTAGAGTGCATTACAGTGGTCTAATCTCGAGATTCCGAGCGCATGGACTAGAGTAGTGAGGGCCCCCCGATCAAGATATGGCCGCAGCTGGGCAATCCGCCATAGATGAAAATAGGCGGAACGGACCACGGACGCCACCTGGGTTTCAGTAGTGCTGCTGAACTAGGACAGCTGCTGGGGGCAAGATCTTGAAGGAATCAGACATGGAAGTGTTGGTGTCTTGACCCAGACCCTGTATCACAGGGGTGGGCAACATCATAATAACAACAAAGCCACATTTGCAAGCCCACACACCTGGAGGTGCTGCCCCACCTCCCATGACCACTGTAATTCCAGCAGTGGTTCTTCACAGTGCAAGTAAGTGCTAGAGCTAGTTTGTGGCTCTAGCCTGCACCATGGAAACTTGCAGATGCCTTTCCTAGATCATCTCCTTTGGAGAAGAAAGCTAAGGAGAAAAGGCATTTTTCCTGGCAGTGCCACCAGAAGGGACAGACATTTCAGTGCAATACAAGGACTGGTTCACATTGCAGCATTGTCTCTGGTTGTTCTGGGATTGTTCTGGGTCATTCTGGTAATTTTTGTTCTTGCTGTTGTTGTTGCAGATTTGCATAGATCATCTCAGTATTGGCACCCCCTCCATTGGGGAGGTATTTGTTTCTGGATGTACTGGGATCCATTGAGTCCTCCTGGTATTGCTTGTTCATATGCATCCAGAATTGTTCCCTGAGTTCTCGACTCCCAGCGCAGATCACCCTTCCCCTTTGGCTATCTCCCCCTCCCTCCCCCTCCCAACTTCACTTTCTC